TTTGCCACCTTTAAGAAGTGGAAAGAAGATGTGTATTTATATTTGGGTAAGGGGTGTTTAGATGTGTTTAGATGTATTTGCCACCTTTAAGAAGTGGAAAGAAGATGTGTATTTATATTTATGTAATGGGTGTCAATATGTTCGATTGGTTAAGGGGGAATGAATCATTCCTTATATAAGGGGTGTCAATATGTCCGAGTGGTTAAGGGGTGTTTAGATGTGTTTAGATGTGTTTAGATGTGTTTGCCACCCTTAAGAAGTGGAAAGAAGATGTGTATTTCTATTTATTTCCCGAAACAAAAGTCAGATGTGTTTGCCACCTTTAAAAAGTGGAAAGCTGAAGTTAAAAATCAGACTGGCTTGAAGATCAAATGCCGGAAGAATGACAATGAAGAAGAATACGAAAAGTCAAAATCCAAAGCATTTTGTGTAGCTGAGGGAATTAGATTAGCGAGGATAGTTCCCAGGTACAACAAGACAATATGGTGTTGGTGAAAGGATGAACAGAACATTGAATGAGCAAGCAAGGAGTATGAGGATTTGTTCTAGATTGTCAAAGACATTCTGAGTTAATGTTGTAAATACAATAGCCTACTTGATAAATAGGGGGTCGTCAGTACCCTTGCGGTTCAAGTTGCCAAAAGAGGTATGGATAGGAAAAGAGAGTTACAAGCTTGATGCTAAGAGAGTTACAAGCTTGATGCTAAAGAGAGCTACAAGCTTGATGCTAAGGCTATGAAGAGGAACCAGAGCCCTTTAGTGATGCCCTACAGTTGGAGGATACAACCAAGTGGGAGCAAGCCATGGATGATGAGATGAGTTGAATGTCTAGGCTTCAGAATTGTGTTGCTCCTTCATCTACTGAGGCTTTGTACGTGGCAATAGCTAAAACTAGAAAGAAAATGATATTGATGACAGACTATGTAAAGAATTAGGCAAGAAGCAGCACGAGAAGATTCTTCATGTAGATAGTCAGAGTGTCATACAGTTGATGAAGAACCCAGTCTATCAAAGACAAAACACATTAGAAGACGATACCATTTCACTCGCTGGTTAGTGGAAGATGGTGATGTGTTTGGAGAAGATAAAGGGTGCAAAGAATCCAGCAAACATGTTGACAAAATGTGCTGATGTTGAAAAAATGAGGTTGTGCGAAGTCTCAATTGGTATAGTGCAGTGAAGATATTGATGGTCGTTTCAGAATGAAATTCTTGACTGACTAGATCAGCCTCCAAGTGGAAGAATTGTTAGGTTATGAAGCAGGATCAGCCTCCAAGTGGGAGAATTGTTAGGGCACGGAGCCTGTTGCCTATTTAAAACTTATCCAATTGTTATACATGGTAAAGTTATATATGGAAAATATACCGTAAACGATTATTTATAATAAAAAGCTTGTAAAGATATATATGGTTATATATATAGTATATGGTTATGTTGGATAAAATCATATATAGTAAACTGAATTATATATATATCTTTTAGACCGTGCTTTTAAAATGTACTCTCTATATTCTTTGTATTTCTCATGCATTTTCTCTCTTCTATCATTTGTGTTCATCTAGATCCCATGTGTGTATTGTTGTGCAATCGTAACAATTACAATAGAAAAATTTAGCTGTTGTGGTGGACGTATCACTCAAGTGTTAGTGATAAAATTGTTCATAATTTTCATTTTTTTTTTCTTTTAAGTCAACTCGTGAGATCCTAAATTTTTCTTATCTTCCATTTTTTTTATTTCACTTTTCATTTTTCTTATTGTGCTAGAAGGTTCTCCAATAATAGATATGATTTGGAGGATATATTTTAATAATTAGTTATGGAGTATAGGTTACATATCCTAATCGGTTAATTTTTTTTTTCTTTATTTGTGTGAGTTGTTAATAGTATATTTTATGTTAAGATTTGATTAGCAGTATATTTTATGTTATTTATTTTTTCCTCATTTTTAGGTATTAGTGGATTGTTTGTATCTTGTTTAAACATTGTAAACATGATGAATGAAGACAATACTTTCGATCCCACTTCTATTTCTCATTCTTAACACTTACCGTTTAAAACACCAATCAAAAGAAATTGACATTTTACTCATGTAGTGGAAGCATTGGAATCAGCTTTGATTTTATTTAGAATTAAACAAAATTAAAGGTTAAACAAACCTATCGATATGCTACCAGTTTAATCTACCTAGTTCTCATGACATGATTAATGAACTATGCAATGCTACATGAATGTATGAGAATAGGATAGAAAACTACCATAAAATTTTGCGTGATTTTAAAACATTCAATAACATAATGAAAATTAATGTAAAAACATATACATGTACAAGTGTTTAATTTGTTCCTAAAAGAAGGAACGGGACCGAGATACAAAAGATGTATATGATATAACAGACAAAAATAAATAAATGGAGAAGACATATGCCTTGGGTCAACACCCTTCTGTGGCTACCTAGCTCTCAAGTACTTCTCGTCCCATCCAACAACATCATACACCTCGAATAAAAAATTGTCGAAATGACAAGTATATAAATACTAAGAGCCTTAATCTCAAGTTCTAGAAACTCTCATCACTCGATTCTTGTCTCAAAATATTGCCCACAACTTCTTATTTATAGATGAAACTTGCATTGTCTTTGATCATTCTAGAGTCATACTAAATTTTAATTCCAAGTTTCTTAACTGTTTGTCAGAAATGTCTACTCATATGACGGTGCTACCTACCTTTATTTTAAATATTAGTTGTTGGATCTAAGGAACCTCAAGTTTTCTTGAACATATTCAAATTTCAGCTCAATCCAATGGTTAGATCTTATAATTTTGTGCAACTTGTCAATTCTAAATCGAATATGTTAGAGAATTTTCATAATTATTTTGAACTTCATAGCATTTTAGTATCTTTTTTTTTTAATATTTTATTCTAAAACTCCAAACTTTTTCTTAAATTTTTTTTACCTTTTTAGTAATTTTTTTCCTTCTTCAGTCTTTTAAAGCTCATCCTCCATTAAAAAAAAATATTAAAAATCCAAGAAGTTTTTTAAACAAACCATTAGACAAATGATTTTTTTTTTTTTTATTCTTTATGCTTATTATTATTATTTTTTTCTCCAATATCTTTGGATCCTTATGAAACCTTAGTAAAGGGTTGAAAATATCTATTTGGGACTTTTGAACCATCCTTTGGATCTCTTAATTCTTCTTTTGGATCTCTCACTTTTTCTTAAGTGTCTTAACTTACTGGGATGTTACAACTACCTTGTCTTCCTCCATCCCTTCTATTTTAACTTACTTATTGAAATCTCATCAATTTAACATCATGTCAGGTTCCTCACATGGTGCTTGATAGCCACAAACCTATTCATAACTTAAAGTAGATGGCACAACCTAACATCATGTCAGGTTCCTCACATGGTGCTTGATAGCCACAAACCTATTCATAACTTAAAGTAGATGGCACAACCTAAGGCTACACAAATACAATAATAAAAGACCTTTCATATAACACCCATGGTTTTCCTTTTTCTTATGACTCCATCGTGTACAACATAGGGAGAACTTACTAAGGGTCTTTCATCAAAGAGACATAAGCTAACTCATCAAAAAGTTCCAAAGACAAGGCTACTACAGTAAACACTTCAAGAATTTAGATGTTAATTAACTTATTGTCAAGAGTGTTTAATCTACAACTTCCTTAGAAAAGTCTCTATAGAGCCTCTTTGCCTTAGAGATTGTAACTCATCTACATTTGAGAAGTTGGAGTTCTCGGGACTTACTTACTCTCCTATTAGTTTATCACTTGCAAAAGAATAACCAACGGTAGCTAAGCCAAAAGAGTAAAGAACATCTAGTTGTTGCTTTCGATAATCACCATTTATAAGCTGTCTTTTCTTTTCTTTCTTCTCTTGATTCTTTCATGAAATTACTATTGTGTTATTGAATCAAGATGTTTTACTTTTAATGTTTTATTTAGTATTTTGTTATGTTGTTGTAAAGATGTTTCGAACATGTAAGTCCATGATAGCGTTGTATGATGAAGTTGTAAATGTTTATTTCTGCATAAGAGGGTATGTAATGATGACGGTATAGACTTTAGGGTAGTAGAAATCTAATGCCGTTACAAATATATTTACATTGAAGTATATACTTAAACTTCCAAAAATGACCGCATAGCACAATAGATTAGTGCGTTTGACTTTGAATCAGAAGGTCGTAGGTTTGACTCCCAGGTCAACCAAAATTGTAGACGATCAATTGAGAACATTTTTCCTCACTTGTGTAAGTTCCTTTGTTGTGCTCATTATGAGTAACTTAATGCTAAATCTATGATACACTTTTCTTGAATATTCTACTTCGGTGGACAAAAGCGTATAGACCAAAGCTCGAAAATCATCTTGTGTAGTTGGTGGTTCTGTCCGTTCAAGTTTGGCCCCGCGATGCCATTATTTTGTATATTTAGTTAATTTGAGATAACAGGGAGGGAAGAGAAACATATTGGAACGTAAATATTTATAACCCTCGAATTTAAAAAAATTCAAGCGTGACCTAAAATCCAAATGAATTAAGTCTTAGGTTGGAGGCTCATCCTTGTTGGGTTCATTTTCCAAATGCTAGTCCATGCTTCTTACGTTCGAGCTAAAACCTACTTTGAAACGTCTATAATAGTCATGAATTTGAAATTCAAATTTCTGGAATTTTTGTTGAAAATATCTTCTTCGATCAAGCTTTCGCCATCTTTCATTTTGAATTTCAGCCGTTGGATCTATTTAAATTTGAGGATGATCTAATAAATGAGGTAAAGATATTTAAGATTTTCAAAGGTTGTGGTGGTCTGACTTATCGAACTTAAGGGTTGTGGCGTGATTGTTTGAAGCATGGGCTGCCGCTAACCTTTGGATATCTTCCCTTAAGCCCTTAATGAAGTGGAAAGTTCTTGTCTTCTCCGTATCTACCATCTCATGGGCAAATCTAAATATTTCAGTAAATTCTACGTTATATTTCTCCAGGGTCCTTTTCCCTTGTTTAAGGCTAAAGAATGTCTCCTGATTTTTTGATGTTGCTACGTAGGGTGGTACTTCTCAAAAAATGCCTCTCTAATCCAAGTCCAAGGATGATTCAATCTTCCATGCTTGCGATCTTAGAGGTTGGTTTCCACAAAAATAAAAGGTGTCACTCCGGTGTGAACATGATGGTGGAGTGTCTATGGGGTGTGGTTTGACTTGGGTTAGGTCTGTAAGGCACAGACGCGACTTTGGGCTTAACTCGATTATGTAATAAAAGACGAGCAATTTTTTTGCGAAATAAAATAAATAGAATTTAAAATATAATATATAATAAATTTACATTATTTCAAAATAGAGTTCAAACATAATTAGTTAAAACACAAAATAACTAACCGACAAAATATTTTAAAACAAAAGAGTAAGGACGAGGAGTGAGGCTTTATGGAACTTGTTTTAAAGTTCACTCCTGACCTCAACTAGCTCCTTATTTACCTTAAAAATCTGGAAAACATGGAGCAAGTTCAAAGACTCACTGAGTAGCCTACTTATAGACTTTAATTGTGTCCTTGATATGCTAGGGTACCACACTTTTTCTTGACTTGTTCTCGTTTTTGTTGCAAGTAATTAGGTCTTTTGGTTGTGTTCTTGACTTGGGAGCTCTTATCATTATCTATCCAAAAGACCTTGGTCGTAGAATTTTAAGGTCTCACCTTTGCTGATCTAAGGGTCTTAATATTGTGGTTCTCGATTCTTCTCTTTAGAACTTGGAATTTGGATCCATGTTATACTTCTTGATTGTCCTTATTCTTAGTTATTTTCTATGTTCTTATTCAGTTGTTGTTTTTTCTCCAAGACGCTCTCCCTAGGATATACGGTACTAGTCATGAATCTGATAACCAGTGTCTAAGACTTCATACATTCCAAGCGACACAGTTTTAACCTATGTCCAAGGATTTATGCATTCTAAGCAACGTAATCTGAACCCGCATCAAGGGCTTCATGCTCATGCGTTCTCTGCGATATAGTCTTAAAAACTATACCCAAGGCTTCATGCATTCCAAGCGGCATAGTCTGAAAACCTACGTTCAAGGCTTCTAACGTTACAAGCAGCGTAGTCTGAAAACCTACATTTAAGGATTTTTACGTTCCAAACGATGTAGTCTGACCCGCATCCAGGATTTCATGCTTTCTCTGGGATATGGCCTAAAAAACTATTCCTAAGGCTTCATACGTTCCATGAGGCATAGTCTAAATATCTACGCTCAAGGTTTCATACGTCCCAAGCAGCATAGTCTTAAAACCTAAATCCAAGATTTCTTACATTGCAAGCGATGTAGTCTGAGTCATGAAAACATTGTACCGTGGGAGGTTTAAGAATTTTCTTAAGTTTCTAAGTTTAAAGACCTTGGTCCCTTGTCCTTGATTGGTACCTAACATTCTTCTTATCTTAATATATATAGAGATTGTGTGGTGTTGTTCTTGGTTCTCAAACATTCTATAAATTTATAAGGTTCTTAATTTCGTGAAGTATAAGTCGTAACATGCGTTCTTAAGCTCCACATAACTTATAGAAACATGTATTAGTTATTCATAGTGTATTGTTTAGAAAAGCTCTAGAAGAGTCTTGGATCTTGGGTAAGAGTTAAGTAAGTATTTCCTTTAAGCATTTCTTAGATCTTAACTTGGTTTAGGTTCTAAACTTACTCTAATCAACGTGAAATCTTGAACATATCTTTATGTTCTTACCATTATACCTTACAAAAGAAATAGTAAGTCATTTGGAAGATATTTAGGCCTTGAAGTATCTTAAAAGGTCTGAGGGACATTTTGGTCATTTTATCTCCTAATTCTTGGTTTAACCTCTGAACGTGTTCCAATAACTTTCAAACTTTACCAAATCATCCTTCATAATAAGATAAGGTCTAAGCTTCATAGTATTTGGAGGTCATTTAGATCATGAACCAATGATAAGTTACCTTAGGGGAATTATGGTCATTTTACACTGTTACTTGGTTCTGCTACTTAACCTTGTCTAATGACCACAAAATTTCATATTTAATCTTAACATGCCGTAATATGCTCAACATTATAATTTCATGGGCAGCGAGTTGATTTAGTGGGTCATTTTAACGTTACTTAAATTCCAAGCAAATTAATCAATTCAAGGCCTTAACTCATGGTTATCCGTGTTTTTCTTTCATATTTTCTTAATTCATACTTAATTTAAAATTCATAAAGAAATCCAACTGATTTCCACCAATATTTCTTAACAAAAGTCAAAGGTGGCTACTTACCTCGTCGACGACGTTCAGGATCTTCGCTATCGAGGTCCTTGTATCTGAATTACTTCAAATTTTCTTTGAAAGAATTCTTAGAGTGTCTAGTTTATGGAACCATAAATTTTTTTTTAATGAGAGCCAATCTAAAAGAGAGCTAAAATTAAGAAAAGCTTAGATTTGGAACAGGTTTGGTTTGACATGGTTGGTTAAGTTGAACTGGACACATCATCGTCTTCTTCCTTTTGAAGGGAAGAAGACATGCACGGCTTTTGTGCCGCCGCCTGAAAATGCCTCTCTTCAGCTTCATTTACGATGCTTCTTCTCTTGATTTCTTTATGAAACTTAATGACGGTATTACAGGGAAGAGCTAGGGATAGAGTTCATATCTTCTCGTGGATTATAACATAAGTTATTAACCTCCAAAATTCGTCGGAAAATCGTTTCCTCACTGAAGTTCAACCCATGAAATTTATATTGGGCAACTGATTCTAGAGGGTTTCAGTGTACTGGTCTAAGTTCAATGCTAGTAGATATTGTCCTCTTTGGGTTTTCCCTTTCGTACTTCAACTCAAGGTTTTTAAAACTTTATTAAAGAAAAGTTTCCACACCCTTGTAAAAAATGTTCTCCTCCCCACCCAATGTGGGATCTCACAATCCACCCCACCTTCGGGACCCAGCGACCTCGCTGGCACTCGTTCCCTTCCTCAATCGATGTGGGACCCCCCAATCCACCACCCTTCAGTGCCCAGCGTCCTTGCTGGCACACCGCCTCATGTCTCCCTCCTTCGGGGCCAGCCTCTTCGTTGGTACATCGCCTAGTGTCTGGCTCTAATACCATTTTTAACGATCCATGCCCACCACTAGCAAATATTGTCCTCTTTGTGTTTTTCCTTTCGATTTTTTTCTACTGCAAAAACCAAGATCACATTTGAATGAGAGCGATCTTGATGACTAAAAAAGACTAAAAGAAAATGAAAATTACTACCTATACCAACAAGGTAAGTAAGGAATACATCTTCATTGGCATGAGACCGATAATATCATACCATTTGTGGAGAGTCGTGGTTCTTAACATGGTATCAGAGTTATGCCCTTAACTTAGTCATGTCAATAGAATCTTCAAATGTCGAACAAAAAAGTTGTGAGCCTCAAAAGGTGTAGTCGGAAGTGACTAAAGTGGTCGAACAAAAGGTGTACTTTGTTTGAGGACTCTAGAGAAGTTGTCAAGTTTCGATTATGAAGAGGTTGTTCGAGGGCTCCATAGGCCTCAAGGGAGGCTCTATAGTGTACTTTGTTCAAGGGAAGGATTGTTGAGGATTGTTGGACACCTGACAGACCTTAGAGCCATATTACTGCTTATCAAAATCACGTCTGCTCTAGAAAGATAAAAGATGCCTCAAAATGTACTAAAAAATTGTCTCAAAATGTAGTGTAGAGGGAGGCATGATGTCAGCTCTCCACCACCCCTGCGCTCTGTGGTTTAAGTGAGCTACCCTGTGGCACATGTGTCTGTCACGGTGTGAGCGAGCATTGCAAGACGAGCATCTCGGGCAATCTTCTTTGAAATTGGTCCTTCAAGGATAGTGTTGTGTGTCGACATTGTGCTCCAACCTATGTGTCAGAAGTTGGTATATGCACCCACTATCCGGTACGAAATCCACAAAAGACATGACATAGACACGGAGAGTTCATGTCCCGATAGAACCTGTATGGATGGATGTTTGAGATGTCTCACTGATGTGATCAACATATGGGTCGATTTTTGATAGACATGTTCGAGCATACCAAGATAGTCAAGATGTCCCGAGACATGGGATGGCATCACGATACATGGGTCATGTTTTTGGGAACCAAGCGACATTGCTTATGAGAGACCTCGACCTAGATCAGAGACAAGGTCGAGTCAGATGACTTGACCTAGAGCAAAGGCAAGTTGGCTAGAGTCGCAGACGATTGAACATGCATGCATGAGCGACGTGTGTGGCCAAACAAGTTTAAATTTTAGACAAGTTATGTTCGGTTGGTAAAGATAAACCTCGCCCAAGGTCCGATGAAACCACACAAACGAGAGAAAAATGTGAATGGAGCTTGAATTTTCCATAAGGCTTATCATGAGTGTGTCAAGATCATGATACCACGCGGTTGAAAATATAAGACAATGATACCTTGCATCACGTACTCAGGGTCCCTCAAAGTGCTGATTCAAATCCAAAAGGCAGTAGAATTGTCCCAAATATTGATGGGTGTCCCACTACGCATGCATCAGCACCTTCGAAGGCATGGATTCGATTCGTGGTGAGTGTGTTTTGCAACGTTTTCCATCCGATTTATGTTATGATTACATGTGGCTTGATCCTATACGTTGATTGACTACAAATATCGCGTCGACACGTTCGCATTCCTCCGCCCAATGGTTGACACATGTCACCTGCATTTGAAGGTTCATGAAACCCTTCCAAATGAATGCCTCCATTGAAGCTCATCCCAGCCAATCAATTCGAGCAGCTCCCAAGTGCTTCTTGGAAAAAATATAAAAGCGCCGGAGGTCAGCCTACTCTATTCTTCTACTCCTCCTGCTTTTGAGCTTCAATCTTATACACGTTCTTTTTCCGCGTTCTTAGTAAGCTTCAATCTTATACACTTCTTTTTTTTTATTTACAAATTTTTGTGTCTGAACAAGTCACTTTATCCTTAGCATTAAATTATGGTTTAGTATATATGTCATATTGACCGTTTATTATAAGCAAATATCTAAATATTTGCCTTTTGGTTGACATAGGAATAAATATCACCATTATTTAGGTATGATGGTCCCGAATAAACATAACCATCATTTAGGTTTGGTAGTTTTAACAAATATTCTCATTTCCCATGCCATGAAATAGAGAACCCATTTCTCTTATTCTCCAGCTTCAATGGCTATAACTCCTTTGAGAGGATCTGTTTTGTCAATGTCGTAGTGAGTACTCAAGGTATTTTATACATAATTTCTAAAAAGGAAAGAAAAAAGTCTGCTTTTCCTGATCCAAATAGGTTTCACTTAACCATATATATTCCATAATCAATGGCTAATATTTACTCCAAGGGATTTACTAGACCAAGCTGATATGGATCATCATTAGAGAGGAATAAAGATACAACACAATCAACTTGAATAAATAATAAATATATGCTATATGCTCGTGGGTCAACTTTGTGTAATGAAATGAATATATAACCCAGTACAACCTTTCATAAATTGCTCTAATATGCTTACATTCTAACACTAATGCCTATAACTTAATAGATTCAATGAAGAAATGTGGAAGATTTTCCCTGAAAGACTCGTTTTCATAATATCAGAGTCCAGAAAACCCATAATATTGATACCCAGATGAGTGCTGATTCACCTGATGAACGAGAACTGAGCGAACGATTGTCGGTAACACCGACAAGAAACCTACATTCCCCAATGGAGGGATCTCGGAATGTGATCATACCGAGGCCATCAAACTCGCAGCTCTTCTCATTCTGCATTTGTAGCTGATAGTAGCTGTTAAATGCATATGAGATGTTACCCTTTGCACCAATACCATTGCATGATCCTCCATAGTTGAGCGTCGAGCAATCTGCAACGCTACAGGCTAGCTTAATGTGATTTGTCACGTCGGTTAAGTCCCGGAATGGATTTGCAACGCACCATCTAGAAGGAAGATACTCCACGTTCTTTGCATTTTTCAATACCTTGTTGCCTAAACCAAGGTTTAAAGGATATTTAGCCTGGCCATCAAAAGAAAAAATACCCCAATGCCTCTCAAAATTCCCTGGAAGAACACTCTTTGCGCCTTCATCAAGTAGGCTGAAGAGATAGACGTCCACAGGAGGCACACCTGGCCTTAAAGGGGTTCCTTTGTTGCTTAGGACATGATTAATCAGGCCTTGGTTGAAGACTCTCGCAGCTGTAAGATTTGCACCCATGGCTCCATCCGTGGGCCATCCGACCTCCCCTATAACAATTGGCATCTGTCCAAAGCCAATTTTGGTGAGAGCGGAAACTAAAGTGTCATAGTTTCCATCGAACGCATTATAGTAAACGTTACTTCCATCAGTGACAGCATGGGTAGTCCCTTCAAAAAATGCATAGTCTTGTGGGAAGTCGGAGTTCCCGTAGAGGCTCAAAAACGGATATATGTTCACGATGAATGGAGAGCCATTGGAGTTGAGAAATGAAACAATTTGAGTCATAAGTTGTGTCAATTCAGGCCTGAATGCTCCCTGGGAAGGAAGGGAAGACTCATATGCATCAGCATTGCAAGGGACAACTAACTTCACATAGCTTGCAAGATTTGCTTTTGCTAAGGATTGTTGAATATTGAGCAAAGCAGGCATGATGTATGACTGATACTCTCCGTTGTAACTGGTGAGAAATGGCTCATTTCCTACGGCAACGTACCTGTCACGATACAGTGCCGTAAAAGTAAGGCAATATTCGATTTGCAGATGAATGGATATTCTAACAGTTTCAGGAATACTACTCCAAATCATTCATTCACAAAAGAAATTTGAGCTAGCATTTTATACAGTAGAAAATATCACGATCCTCGAGGTCCAGTACAGACTCGTTTCTTACCAAGAAAATTACTTGAATTCCCTAGAAGACGAGAAAATAATCCAGTTGAAAACTTCCAAGAATTTCCAGAACCTTGCACCATCCCAAATTCTAACTCATCTCGTTTTCCCTTCTAATGCTCACGTAACTTATCACTAACCTAATCAAGAATTTGACCCTGTATCGACGTATCAAACTTCCCTTGATATTTATCTACCCCTCTGCTGCCACTCCAAGACTTCCTTTCCCTTCCCATCCTTCTCTCCCCGTTATCTAATCGTTTGTGTCGGTGTATTTGGGCCCTATGAAACGCTCAAAGAAAGCACATGGTTGTAACACAGATTATTACTTGAAGCATCCAAGTCCATTTTTCATTGAATAACTCGCTACACATGTTAGGCATGATAAAAATAATAACAAGTAATCCATTTTTCCAAACAATGCTGCTACCATCAATTTTGGTATCAGTTTTAAGCATTACCAAACATACAATGGTCTGAATTTCAAATTAATGAAGACATTTCCATTGAAGTTTTCACAAACATGATCTGGGACGCCATAATACCAAAAGGAAAAACAAAGCTTCATTTGGTTTGTGGTCATAACTCTATTGATGGGTTCAAAGAATTATCCTCATTTATTTCATTGTTACAACTCCAAATATGAATGTGAGGCAGGCAGGACACTGACATTGAGGCAGGCAGGACACTGACATTCATTTATAGATAAGTTGGATGGGGATTTTGCAATTTTTTCTTCTGCAGTACCTCGACCTCGACGTGACATGAGCGTGAAAAGGGTTCAAGAACCAGTTTTCTTTATATAAGGGCTACAATCATTTCTTTTGGCTTTTTGACCCCATATTGTAGGGTGGATCTCAAAAGATATGAAAGATCTCCCTCCAAGCCGTACATACGACTTTCATCGAATACGGCTTTCCACATAATTCTATGTGTCTATGAGATCGAGTATGGAATTTTGTTAAATTCAAATACAACTTCTTAATTTCTTGTACCAGGCATCTGTCTCAACCCCTGATTGAATGGAACTTCCTAGTTCAAAGATCTAGAGGCCTGGTTTTCAAGGATCATATGAAAATGTGGGTATGTTCTTGTTTGAAAGGGAGAAAGGACAACAATGGCGACAACAAATCATACACATTCATTACCACTCATCAGATTCAGAGATAAATCGCTCACAAAAGGCACCACTCTGTTTATCTTAATAAGAAAAGCTAATACCCATTACGCAGAGAGTACCATAATAGATACTGAATCCTCCCAATAAGTACTAATTAAAGAGAAAAATTGAAGAGTCTGTTTGTATATCACTAATCTCTTAGACGCATAAACAATCAAAAACCCACAGCCAATGCAACATTGTAATCTACAAATAGACAAACAATGTAATAACTCAACCAAACCTTCAAACTACGATTAGATTTCGTCTTCAATCACTATTTTCTCAAAGCAAACATAACTCCGGACAAAGATCAAGAACAGAAACCATGCAACAAATTTACAGAAAAAAAAATAGTAATCCAAACAGGAACTAGAGCATCGACAGAAATAGACAAAATGAAAGAGATGCTATCATCACGATTCATCATCAACAACGCACCTGATATCAACGCCCCCTTTAACAACATACGAAGACACATTTTGACGGACCCATAGATCAGAGGCAAGCGAAGAGGAGCTCAAAGAAGCGAGCATTTCATTAGGGATTCCAACCATGACTTGGATCCCACTTCCCATTAAAGCCTTGAGCACTCTGGAGTCCGCGTCAAACAGTTTCACTTTCTCTACTCTATTGCTCTTCAATAGATCAACGACGGTGGACGGCTTCATCTTATGGAACGAAATCGTACCCCAATTAACACCAATGGCAGATTCCACCACCATAAATGAACCCAAAAGTAAAAACAAACAGTGCAGGGCTGCTTCCAATCTCCGCCTCAACATTTCTGAGAGAGTTTACGTGACTTCAGGGACCAAAATTGGTCAAATAGTCGGAGAAGTTGAGAAGGGCGGCGGGAACGCCGACGATGGCGGTGGTGGAAAAAAAGAAGCGGTGAAAGGCGGCGGAGGAGGAGTGACACCTGTAAGTTGTAACCGCTTGAAGAGTGAAGATGAAGCGAAGTGATGGATGGTAAAGAAATACATAAGCATATTTACATAAATACCCCTCGGAATGTGACGAAAATTGTTGTTTCAGGCAGAAACCACATAATTAGTTACGCTTTAAGATTTACTTTCGTATTTAATATTAAATAATTGTAAATTTTCATTTTAATAATAATTTATTTCAGTATAAAAAGTATTTGAAGGGCCCAAATTGGTTTGAAAATTTGGGCCAACATCAATCTTTTATTGAATATAATATTAAAAAGGTGGTATAATCTTTAGCAATGTAAAGGGTGAAAGTTACCAATTCGAGACAAATGGATAACATTTTTTTATTTTTTTTTTTCAATTATTTGGATTTTAAATTTTTCCATCCGAGTAATTTTTATTAAGTAATGAATCCAACCCAATCATAAATTTTTTGGATTGGATTTGTTCAGGTCATTTATTTAATTTTTTGTTTTTAATAAAAGTAAAACGTTTACCTATTCCAAACATTTAATCAAAATTACAATTCAATTTCAATATATTTTTTTGACAAATTATCTCCCAAGTATTCAAAAAAAATATTTTTAAGTGGTTAGATAATAAATAATAAAAAGATAATTAGGAAATAAAATTTTATATTTTAAAATTCAATAAATTTACTGGATTTATTTTAATCAAATAAGAAAACTGTATAACTCAATTTATAAAATATTTAATTAATAAAATTTTTATTTAATTAAATTGAGTTCATAAATCAACCCAAATTGTATGATTTGGATTAGGTTGATCAGGTTTTTTTTTTTTTATAGTTATCTGAATATTTTAACACCTCTAATAATATTATTATTATTAATAACCGAAATAATAATTAAAAAAAAAAGAGAGAGAATAAAAACAGAAAAAGGAAAAAAAAAAGAAAAAGAAGATCAGAAAAGGAAAATTAAAGAGGAGGGTATTTCTGTAATTTCACAATTACAGAAAAGTGGGAAAATCTAGAAATTTTACAGATTTTGGACTCCAATTCTACTGTTTGAAGTTAAATCTGATGATCAACGTGTACGATGAGCTGGGAGCTTAGATCAATTATAAAACCATGGATTTGGGTGTTAAATCAAAGCATAAATCAGAGTTAAAACCCAAAAGAAAACGAGCAAACCCGTTGTGAGAATTCTTTGTCCGTTTGACCTCTATTTGCTCGTTTTTTCGATTTTAAAGTCATTCTTAATTTCTCTTATTATAGGACACTTAGAGATATTTGGGAGAAATCAGAACAAGTTAAGAGCGTTTCTAATATAAAAAGAGAATCCCAACGTGGATAAATAGCTATTGGCTTAACTCGTTCAATTACAATTCATAAAATACAAAAGCAAATTATTGTTGTTCGTTATTATCTGAACCATGTTGATACTAAGCTTCGATATCTTGATTGGATTAGTTATAAGCACTAAATATAACAAAGTATTAGTTTCTGAGTTTATAGACTACAAGATGCAAGATTTGTTTGTTTACATGATTATTACTAAAACATGCAAGGTAGTAAATCATGTTAAGATACTTGCGTTATATTATATTTTATGTATGTCATATATTTGTATGTCGTGATAGCTTAAGGAGGGTTGTTTGACAATCTTCTACCGTGTACCTCATCACTAGCAATGAGGACCACTATCGTACACACAGATTCAATAGAGTGTAGACATGCTTAATAGTGCCTTATGAACACTATGTGGGTGCAATTAAGAAGTTCTCAAGTAATTCTTAGTCGTGAACTTGTCAAAGTAGGGCAAGGGACTACATAGGGTCGGTAAACACGAGGGTCGCTTCCTCTTTTATCACCTCGCATTGAGAGACTATTAGGATCAAGTCGACTACCCTATTAGTTATATGTAGTAGTGAACATAATCCATCATGCATGATAGCAGATCAAAGTTAGGATTCAAATGACATACATCAGTGTCAAACGCAACCTTACCAATTATAAGTAAGCAATATTATAGTATTAACTTTGAGCTCATTAGATAAGTTTTAATAGGCTATAAAATAGTTATAGGTTACCGGTAAAGATAACTTAGAGAACAGAAGTGCTAATTTAGGCAAATCTTTAAGCATATCCAATAGTCTAGAGCAGTAGTTAAATAGACATTAAACCATAAGTTTAGTTTAAGAACCTACAAACATGCTTGATAAGAAATCACTACAATGAAAAGTATGATTCAGATTATCTTGTTGATCAAATATCTCAAGGCAAGAACTCTTGTTTGGATTCGAATCACTCCACATGCAATTGTGATCATTGAATGATTATGAACGTGAAACCTAAACTACATATAATTGCAAAAACTTAGCATTTGGCTAAAAGAAAACACAAATGCTCTTTTTACTATATTTTTACTACATCTCTCTTACCAATATAACATACATGGCTTTATATAATCTCAAAATAAAGATCATTAACCTTGAGTGAGGTATTTCAAGAGCATAATTAGCTATGATGTAAATATAATCTTAAAATAAATTAAAGAAACACCATAACTCTGCCTATCATCCACTTCAAATTTGTAACCATTCAAGAATAAATGAAGCTTGACTCTTCCATAATGTGGTATCAATTGAAACATCTTGTGATAATTTGAACAATATTTTCTCCACATCTTCCTTAAAATTTATCTGACATGGTTGATGCCTTGTTTCATATCAGTGCTACTTACCGAGTATTTTTATATTCATCCTTTCTACTTATTGATTGTGCAGGAGTCTAACATGAATTCTTTTTTCTTTTTATTTAAACGTAGTTATTTAATTTAAACCATAAATTCGTACGAAAAATAATCATTTATATTCAAAAGGCATATTTTAATTAAGTTGGATGGATATGGCACTTTTTGTAACACCAATACCAAACTCTGTGAATATGCTCGATTTTGCACCGGCGAGTATGGGTAAATTTAAAACTTTCATGGCCAAATCTACTTCAATCCCAACTTGTCTTCTCCAATACTTTCTTTCACTTGATTTATTCATGGTGACTATTCCTAATACATGTAAAAAAAAGCGAAGAACCAGCTTCCACTGCCGTGATTGCATGCTTCGAGTCATGTCATCGGCTCTATACAATGGACAGTCGACAACTATAGCCCTATGTTTTTTTTATTATTATTATTTAAAAAAATGAGTATTAAATATCTGACAGTATCGACGATAGTACAAAGCTACGATCGGTTGAATTGGAGTGGTGTGTGGGAGTGAGGGTCACGACTGATGTGCAAGGAGATCTCCTCCTTCGACTAGTGGCACACAGTTGTAGTGACACATTGCTGGGCAACAATCAATGGTCGGAGCAGTGCAATAGTTGGAATGAGGAGAAAGGTGTTGAGTATATTTAGCCTTCCATTATGATTTATCACAGGTACCATATTTGACTTTTTATTACAGGCAAATATTTAGACATTTTCCTTCCATTGCCGTTTAACCTAGTATCATATTTGCCCTTTCATTATAAGTAAATATTTTCTCCATTTATTTTATTTGTAATTTATTTGATGATAATAGATAACTTTCACCATTATTTAGGTGGGGTGATTTTGCCCTTTCTTCTTCGTGGCTTCTGAATCCTCTTCTCATCTTCTTTTCCGCCACCATTGTTGGTTTTGACACCGCATGTGCAGTCGTCAGGGCTACTGCTTAGGCTCCACCTTTTTGACCTCCAAATCACCTATGGAGGACCACCCTTTGCTATACTTACATACAACCTCACCTTCTAAAACCTAACGGTTGATGGTTCTCCTTTCTCTAATTCTATTCTCTGTCAATCTCTTGTTGGCGCCCTTCAGTACTTGACCTTTACTGTTAGATAAAACCTGAGTTTTTTCTTATTTTCACACGATTTCATTAGTTGATTGAGTACGTCTGTTTGACCATTTCACAAACACGTCGAATGGATTACCAAAGTTTTAGACGGCAATTTTGTAGGGAGTGGGACAGATTTCGTTGGTCAGTCCCCAATTTTTAGGATAAATTATATTTAAATAGTTAAATCCACCTGAGCAATTCTCCGGTGGTATATCATTGCGGAGGAGCCAATCTATCAATAGTCAAGTTGAATAGCTCAAGTGGTTAGAGTGTTGACTTAACGAAGCATAGGTCTTAGTTCGAGTGGAAGAAAATGCAAAGTGCGAAAATAAACACATTGTGGCACACGATTTCATTGGCACAGATTTTAGTTGGCACTCCCACTCCCAGCCATGGGCGATTATCGAACTTGTTATCGCTTGCAAACCTCGCATACAATATGTACCTTACCACCTCTCTTTCTATTTTTTAGATCCAAGTATCACGTTCATTTAAATCCGACAGTCAACTTGCAGGGGTGTTAACGATATTTAGCCTTCCATTATGGTTTATCATAGATACCATATTTGATCTTTTATTACAGTCAAATATTTAGATATTTTTGTTTTATCACGGTTTATATCATATTTACAGCAGTTTTATTAGAAACAAATATTTTTTTCTATTTATTATACTTTCCTGGTTACTATTTTCATTTTATTTGTAATTTATTTGATAACTACGAACTTTGGTCGAACAACTCGCATGGACTTGAGTCACAGGCGAGGCGAAGACACAATCGGCTGAGGAAAAGAGAAAGGAAGGAAGAAGAAATCAGGCAGACGGCTCATATGGGGCATCATGCGTGTGTAAGCGGGGCTAGGCTTATAGTCGATAGTCTTCGTTCAACCAAGAACAGTACATAAACTATATTCCCCACACGGATTGCAAATTGAGTATTAAATTAATTAATTTAATAATTATTTTATAAAAATAAATTAATTGAAAATTAATCAGACAGTTAAAAGTGAGTATTACTAAAATTTAGAGGTTTAGAATTATAAAACATATAAACCAATTAAAAATTAAAACTCAAAATTTAATAATTAAAATGTAATCTTTTACAATCTAGTAACTAAATAAAAATTAAAATAGAAATATATGTAATAATTAAAACTTTATAGACTAAAATGACAATTT